GGTGGTGTCTAAAGGTGCCTTCTCAAAGATGCTGTACAGGTCAGGGCAAATACAAATATGTGAGTGTGGAGCGGTATTTGAACAGGGAGAGGTCAGACATGGAATTGAGAGATAGCCGTGTGATAGAAGGACGCATGTCGTGATTCATTATTTCACTTTTTGACCCACGAAAGCCTTACGGATTTTCAAGGCTTTTGGGATTGTCCTGTCAAGTTTTTCATAGTTGGGAGTGATTGCTACGTGTATTCCTAATTGAGGTATTTTCAGGTAAAGTTTCAACATTGGGATCAGTCAGGAGACAAATGATTAGTCTGTCATATACAAAGACCTATTACCACAAGCATAATATAGGCATACGAGCAAATTATTAAAATAAACCGATAACAGTAATGACCTAAGACACTAATACCAATTATATCGCATGGGGTTTTTTATGGGAGAAAACCAAAACCCAGGCCCTTTGCGGAGGCCCAAGTGTTACCACTACACAACCACCCTGCCGTACTAGTACGGACGATTGAAACACGTGTTGTGGGACTTTTAGGTTATCATTGCTAACAGTTGTAATGCACGTGACTGCCGAGTGCATGAACGTTTGTCTTGCAATGGAGTCTAATTCCACGCCAACTGCAACCTCGGAGTATCTGCCTCGTGTGCACCATTATTCATTCCAATTGGTGACACGCGAACGAGTCAGTGTTTGGCTAAATAATATAAACTGAACATGTTAAGAATAAATGGGCGATACAGAGCTCAGCACAAGGCAACTCATGGATGCCTCCAACCTATGCTCTCTAACCTGTGTAATGGGTTCGAAATAGGCGAAAACACTTCTTCTTGGAAGGCAACACTATTTATTGAACACAACAGCAACTCTTAACATAGGGTGGTGACCACCGACCTATCCTCGCTAACACACACCATCACTTTCTAACACTGACTCTCGGATACGACTAGCGTGGCCAAGCCAGGAGGGCTACGGGTTGGCCACGCTTACTTGAGGCTTGACTCTTTGTCACGAGGCGTCTTCACGAGGCATCTTCATCCCGGACACGAGCAGCCTCAAACCCGGTGCGGAGGCCGCTTATATGCGCCTTGGCGTGTCCTGGCCACACCCCGGCCACGCCCACCTTCGAGAACTCTCGAGAAGGCCCCTCTCCTGTCCACGTGGCCCCCCACGGTGCCCCCGGCCCCCACCTTGATCCGGTCACGTGTCCAGCCAGGTTTACCCAGTGCTACGGCCTCACACAACCCCTGTGGCACTGACCCACGGCCTCCAGATCCCCCGAACTGGCCGTGACGTCATTCCCGTGTCCAGACGTGATGACGTCATGTGTGTGGACCCGTGTGGTAGTGACGCTCCCCTGCGTAACGACGTCACGCGTGTGTGTAGGTCCACATGGTAGTGACGCTACAAGTCACTACACCTGTGTTCCTCTTCTTGTCGCCCAGTGTCATTTCCACATGTATCCCTCCATGCATCTTTGTCGTTTCTTGATCCATTAGTTAGTAACATACACCAATTTAAAACGTTCTTCTTATTAAGAAATATTGCGCTGAAGGATTTTTTTCCAAAAGCACTCCAATCTATTCTTGTTGGCCTGTAAACATTTTGACCCTGGTCCACATTCAATAACTGCCCTAGGTACACTTACTCTGCTGTTTCCACGATATCTTCAACTGCTTCGTTATCTTGTGGCACGACTTTTACTTATTTTCAGCCAAACTTTGCAGCCTTCATTATTATAAAGTTATATTATTTCTGTTGGATGGACAGGTCTCCACATCTGTTTGTCTGCTACATATGTATACATTAAAGCAAGTTCACTATGCAGCAAATGTTAATATTACAAATACATATTTGAAAAGTTTTATGTATGCTGAACTTATTTCGCACCACAGGTAGCCAACTGCCAATCGGACGTGAGGGAAATATCTTAATCTTTATTGGAAAAAAAACACACTAAACATTGTAAACATATATGAAAACAATAGCTAAAAACGTTCAAACAAATTATATTCCATAAAACTTACCCATATACACTACTGCACAATTTTAACTAAATTGTGTTTAGTAAATACGGAATATAAAATACAAATGTAGGTTAAATTTCGATTTAAAGCTTTCGTGACTGCAATGATTCATCTTCTTTGGTTCTTTCGGTAAAGTCACGTAGAATGAGAATAAAATAATACATTGATAAAATAAAATAACAATAATATTCTCACGACGTTTCGGCCACAACACAAGCGGCCTTCATCAGGTGAAGGGGCGAGACTGTCTGGTAGGACAGCGCTGTCCTACCAGACCTGATGAAGGCCGCTTGTGTTGTGGCCGAAACGTCGTGAGAATATTATTGTGTTATTTTATTTTATCAATTTATAATTTTATTCTCATTCTACGTGACTTTACCGAAAGAACCAAAGAAGACAAATGTAGGTTTCCAATTCAACGTTATGCTACTGAAAGATTTATGAACACGGTCATGTATACAGTGAGGGAAAAAAATATTTGATGCCCTACTGATTTGTACGTTTGCCGACTGACAAAGAAATGATCAGTCTATAATTTTAATGGTTGGTTTATTTGAACAGTGAGAGACAGAATAACAAGAAAATCCAGAAAAACTCATGTCAAAAATATTATGAATTAATTTGCATCTTAATGAGGGAAATAAGTATTTGACCCCTCTGCAAAACATGACTTAGTACTTGGTGGCAAAACCCTTGTTGGCAATCACAGAGATCAGACGTTTCTTGTAGTTGGCCACCAGGTTTGCACACATCTCAGGAGGGATTTTGTGCCACTCCTCTTTGCAGATCTTCTCCAAGTCATTAAGGTTTCGAGGCTGACGTTTGGCAACTCGAACCTCCAGCTCCCTCCACATTTTCTATGGGATTAAGGTCTGGAGACTGGCAAGGCCACTCCAGGACCTTAATGTGCTTCTAAGCCACTCCTTTGTTGCCTTGGCCGTGTGTTTTGGGTCATTGTCATGCTGGAATACCCATCCACGACCCATTTTCAATGCCCTGGCTGAGGGAAGGTTCTCACCCAAGATTTGACGGTACATGGCCCCGTCCATCGTCCCTTTGATGCGGTGAATTTGTCCCGTCCCCTTAGCAGAAAAACACCCCCAAAGCATGTTTCCACCTCCATGTTTGACAGTGGGGATGGTGTTCTTGGGGTCATAGGCAGCATTCCTACTCCTCCAAACACGGCGAGTTGAGTTGATGCCAAAGAGCTCCATTTTGGTCTCATCTGACCACAACACTTTCACCCAGTTGTCCTCTGAATCATTCAGATGTTCAATGGCAAACTTCATTCGGGCATGTATATGTGCTTTCTTGAGCAGGGGGACCTTGCGGGCGCTGCAGGATTTCAGTCCTTCACGGCGTAGTGTGTTACCAATTGTTTTCTTGGTGACTATGGTCCCAGCTGCCTTGAGATCATTGACAAGATCATCCTGTGTAGTTCTGGGCTGATTCCTCACCGTTCTCATGATTATTGCAACTCCACGGGGTGAGATCTTGCATGGAGCCCCAGGCCGAGGGAGATTGACAGTTATTTTGTGTTTCTTCCATGTGCGAATAATCGCACCAACTTTTGTCACCTCACCAAGCTGCTTGGCAATGGTCTCGTAGCCCATTCCAGCCTTGTGTAGGTCTACAATCTTGTCCCTGACATCCTTGGAGAGCTCTATGGTCTTGGCCACGGTGGAGAGTTTGGAATCTGATTGATTGCTTCTGTGGACAGGTGTCTTTTATACAGGTAACAAGCTGAGATTAGGAGCACTCCCTTTAAGAGTGTGCTCCTAATCTCAGCTCGTTACCTGTATAAAAGACACCTGGGAGCCAGAAATCTTTCTGATTGAGAGGGGGTCAAATACTTATTTCCCTCATTAAAATGCAAATCAATTTTTTACATTTTTGACATGCCTTTTCTGGATTTTGTTATTCTGTCTCTCACTGTTCAAATAAACCTACCATTACAATTATAGAATGATCATTTGTCAGTGGGCAAACGTACAAAATCAGCAGGGGATCAAATACTTTTTTACCTCACTGTAACCAAGAGCCAGCATCTCCTCAAAGCACCAGGGGGGATGTCATTTAAGGGTGAGGGGGGGATCCCCAGGATATCAATATTTTTTACACAACCATCTCGTGTCCCTGAATACCAATTGTAACCGAGTGAAACCTTTCATTTATATTTTTTGTCATTATAAAAAAGCAACATAAACGATAGGTTAAAAAACACACAACAGACCAATTCTGGACCACAATACAATGCAGCAGCAGCAACTGGGCATTGCGACAATGGGACTACCTGGCGCGCACTATCCCTGAAGAGCAGCAGCAGCGTGGTGAAACAGCTGCCCAGTCGCCGTAGATTCCACTCAAACTATTGCAAGGACACGCTGAAGCGAACTTTACAATGTTTTCAACAAAACCGCTCAAGCCAATTTTATTGGTGAACCATGCGAGAACTCAAGAGACAAGGATGGTTTCATTTGCGCGAGTGATTGGGGCCAAGGAGGTCTTTCTGGTTGGGTGGGTCTCAAGAGCATTCGATTGATGTACTCGGGCACCAAAAATGGCATCAAGAGTGACCTGGACATATTTACTATATAAGTATGCATTGGGTAAATTTTCGGAATAATCAATACAATGTTTCAAACTACATGTCTATAACACGTAGGCTTTTGCGACCAATATTATTCATAATAAAGGTTTTTGGGTTAGATCGCGTTATTTATGTGTCGTAACCCTCCACACCCGACACTGCCAATCAGCAAAAAAGTGTCACGTTGACAAAAGACAAATAGTTCACTACTTTAGCCCACCGGTGTGTTGAAGAGTGAATCCACAGCATTTACAGTTTGAGTACGACGTTTCGCTGGTAATTACATCCAGCATCATCGGGCGAATTGCCCGTTTACCAGCGAAACGTCATACTCAAACTGTAAATGCTGTGGATTCACTCTTCAATACACCTGTGGGCTAAAGTAGTGAACTGTCATTTGTCAACGTGACACTTTTTTGCTGATTGGCCATGTCGGGTGGTGGGGGGTTACAACACGTTTATAAATATCGCGATCTAACCCAAAAACCTTTATTATGAATACATGTCTATACTCTACATGGCCAGCAGGAGAGTTATGGGACAGTGATCGCTTCCCATAACCTTTGAGCGCACCTTGTTATCACACAATTTAGGTAAAAGAGCCTCCGACAACACAAAGTAATCAAGGCGCCAGCCCACATTTTTGGCACGTGCATTCATCATGTATGTCCAGAAAGTGTAGGCATAGGGCACCTCCGGATAAAGATGACGGAAGGAATCAACAAATCCAGCCTTGAGCAACTCTGTGAAACCATCGCGCTCTCGCTGCGTGAAGCCCGGAGTCTTGTTTTTGTTGGTCTTGGGATTCTTCAGGTCAATCTCTTGGTGAGCCACATTGAGATCTCCACACAGCACGAGCGGTTTACGATCTTGTAGCTCCTTAAGAAAGGTGCGGAAGGCGATGTCCCACGTTTCACGATAATCCAAGCGCACTAATCCCCGGCCAGAGTTGGGAACGTATGCTGCCACTACGAAGAAGTCATCAAACTCTGCTGTAATGACACGGCCTTCCTTGTCATGCTCCTCCACGCCTGCGATTGACAATAAAACAAAGTGTAGTCTTAACCCACCACATCAAATAACATTGAGAACATTCCTCACGTCTTACTACATCCAAAGTATGTGATGCACCACACTTCACAACCACTTTTTAGTGATTCTTGTTTTTGTAACAAGATGACAAGCAACTCGGAATCATTATTAAAATGTAGGTTATGAATGCCAATACAATGCTCCATATTTATTTTTGGGTTCGGCCACATGGTACTTTCCAACGTTTTCATCAAACTCTTGATAAGAAAAGTTTATTGGTGGCTTAAAACTTTGGCAAATTATTAAATTCAGTCATTAAATAATTGTTTTACATGATTGTTAGAAATGCTGTTGTTTTATACCAGCGTCCCTCCAATTTATCAACGAGTTTAGTTTCTCCTATATTTTTCTAGAACCCAACGTCACAGCCTTATGTGTAAACTTCCAAAAAAAATTCCACTTATGACATCTTCTCATGCCAAAATGAATATCATCAGTGAGAGCTTGACTCCATTCAAAACAAGGTTGTTAAGGACAACCTGAAAACCGGTCACTTTTCAGAATTGATTACCGGTTCCAAAAGTCAAGAACTGGTAACAGGTCCCAGTGGAATGTGGGTAATAAAAGCACCAGTTGGCATACGCGAACGTACAGTGAGGGAAAAAAGTATTTGATCCCCTGCTGATTTTGTATGTTTGCCCACTGACAAAGAAATGATCAGTCTATAATTTTAATGGTAGGTTTATTTGAACAGTGAGACAGAATAACAACAAAACAATCCAGAAAAACGCATGTCAAAAATGTTATAAATTAATTTGCATCTTAATGAGGGAAATAAGTATTTGACCCCTCTGCAAAACATGACTTAGTACTTGGTGGCAAAACCCTTGTTGGCAAGTGCTCCTAATCTCAGCTTGTTACCTATATAAAAGACACCTGTCCACAGAAGCAATCAATCAGATTCCAAATTCTCTACCATGGCCAAGACCAAAGAGCTCTCCAAGGATGTCAGGGACAAGATTGTAGACCTACACAAGGCTGGAATGGGCTACGAGACCATTGCCAAGCAGCTTGGTAAGAAGGTGACAACAGTTGGTGCGATTATTCGCAAATGGAAGAAACACAAAAGAACTGTCAATCTCCCTTGGCCTGGAGCTCCATGCAAGATCTCACCTCGTGGCGTTGCAATGATCATGAGAACGGTGAGGAATCAGCCCAGAACTACACGGGAGGATCTTGTCAATGATCTCAAGGCAGCTGGGACCATAGTCACCAAGAAAACAATTGGTAACACACTACGCCGTGAAGGACTGAAATCCTACAGCGCCCGCAAGGTCCCCCTGCTCAAGAAAGCACATATACACGCCCGTCTGAAGTTTGCCAATGAACATCTGAATGATTCAGAGGACAACTGGGTGAAAGTGTTGTGGTCAGATGAGACCAAAATGGAGCTCTTTGGCATCAACTCAACTCGCCGTGTTTGGAGGAGGAGGAATGCTGCCTATGACCCCAAGAACACCATCCCCACCGTCAAACATGGAGGTGGAAACATTATGCTTTGGGGGGTGTTTTTTTGCTAATGGGACAGGACAACTTCACCGCATCAAAGGGACGATAGACGGGGCCATGTACCGTCAAATCTTGGGTGAGAACCTCCTTCCCTCAGCCAGGGCATTGAAAATGGGTCATGGATGGGTATTCCAGCATGACAATGGCCCAAAACACACAGCCAAGGCAACCAAGGAGTGGCTCAAGAAGAAGCACATTAAGGTCCTGGAGTGGCCTAGCCAGTCTCCAGACCTTAATCCCATACAAAATCTGTGGAGGGAGCTGAAGGTTCGAGTTGCCAAACGTCAGCCTCAAAACCTTAATGACTTGGAGAAGATCTGCAAAGAGGAGTGGGACAACCCCTCCTGAGATGTGTGCAAACCTGGTGGCCAGCTACAAGAAACGTCTGACCTCTGTGATTGCCAACAAGGGTTTTGCCACCAAGTACTAAGTCATGTTTTGCAGAGGGGTCAAATACTTATTTCCCTCATTAAAATGCAAATCAATTTATAAAATTTTTGACATGCGTTTTTCTGGATTTTTTTGTTGTTATTCTGTCTCTCACTGTTCAAATAAAACTACCATTAAAATTATAGACTGATCATTTCTTTGTCAGTGTGCAAACATACAAAATCAGCAGGGAATCAAATACTTTTTTCCCTCACTGTACAAACCGCATGGCGGCCTAAGCTATTGCCCAGTACATTTTCCCTCGTTTCTCAGTTAAAAATAAAGGTACAAACTGATGGGCCTACAAAAGGTTCCATTTTGTAGCTGCTGAAGCCGAGTTATAAATAATAGTGCATTGTCTTTATACTGTTAGCCTTTTGGCATTATCTGGTCTGACACTGGTTAGACAAGGCCCTATAGAAGGTTGTCTCTGGTGTCAGCCAATCAGTTTCCAAGACAATGCATATATTATCTGACCATATTTGTTTCCATGTTCACCACAAGTACGTATGGTTAATGTAGGCTTGATTTCTTGCAATGGTTTCTATTTGGTGTTCTAACATATTTACACCTGTTTATTGTCAGAAAGGGTAAAACATATAATTATTATTTTTCATACCCAGTGTGCTAACGTTAAACCACCTGTGGCAGCTCCCTTAGTTTCTCAGTTAAATAGGTAAAACTCTTACAAGATATTATCGTCGGAAAGGGTAAAGCCTATTCTTTTTTAATTATTTTGATACTTCTATACATGCAATAATGCAAAAAAATTTGAAGAACCCTAATTTATAATGATGGTACAGCTATACAGATAGTCCCCGAGTTACGATGGTCCGACTTACGATATTTCGATCTTACGATGGCGATACGACAAAATTGTAAAATATTTTAAATTTCGCGCGGCAGGCAAACGCAGCTGCGTACGAAGGTATGATACTGTACGTTGGGACGCTGCCGGGATGTACATTTTACTGTGCAATACAGGATTGTAATTAATAAATACATACAGTATATAGTTTATACAGTACAGTACTGTAAATTGCTCTGTTTTGCTAAATTATCACCATTCTTTAAGACTCCTGGGTAGGCAAGGCCATCTTCGACTTACGATATTTTTTACTTACGATGGGGTCGTCGTAACGCATCTCCATCGTAAGTAGAGGACTACCTGTACTAATGTCATCAAAACAGAGCATCCGTGTCTTTTGTAATATACACATTAATGTGTCTCATGCAGCGCCACATACCGATCCCAATCGTGACATTTATCGGCTTCTTCTTGCTCAGCAGGGCCACGCCACTATAGCCCTCCTTGTCATCGGAGCATGCCCAGAACTTGTGTGGAAACTCGGGCATGTCGAGAACCTCAGCTGGAAGAGATTTCTCGGCACATTTGGTTTCCTGCAGGCACAGCACATCTGGATCCTCCTCACGTACCCACTGTCAAAAGAAATGAGAAGCAATGCAGACAAGGTGACGCACAGAAGCTGTTATCCAATGTTTCTGAACATAGCCTAGCGCTGCTTTTGATCACAAAAGGATGCAATTTGAAATCCCAATCGACAGTTGACTTAGCCCAACATCGGGTGGCAGAGTGGTGGTGCAGTGGTAACCCTTGTATCTCACACTAAGAAATGCCTGGGTTCAATTCTCATCTTAGGCACCTTTCTGCGTGGAGTTTGTACGTTCTCTCCCCCTGTTCTGCATGGGTTTTCTCCAGGTTCTTCAATTTTCTCCCACAGCAAAACACATACAATTCAACTGGTGTTGGCCAAACATCGCCATGTTGAATAATTATCTGAAATAACTCCATTGAGAAGAAATATCGCAACATCGCCCACTACTGTGCAAGCTTGGCAGGGCCTACCTGAAAAATGTTGAGACTCGGTGGGCTTTCCTGGTTAAGCAAGCGAATGATAATAACAAAAGCATTTATTCTGTATTAATGAAATGAGCATTGCAGTGGAAAGTAAACGGTGATTGCCATGGGAATGTAGCATTTCCCTAACTTACCTCGGTCATTTAAAGGAAACTAGCACCATAAGTCCCTCTCATTGAGCTCAGAAACAATGGCTCTTTTAATGAAATAGAGATGAGAGATAATAAAGAGGTGTAGAATTCCTTGGGTACAGCAGCCACCAACCATCTACCAAACCGATTCATAACATTAGCTCATCGGTAACCCGGTTTTTGTTTGGCAGCGAAAAAAGGGGAACTAAACTAGAGCCTCAAACCTCAAGCGCGTTTTTCTTCACCCAGGCACGAATGCCGTCCACGTTCCAGCTGGTGATCTTGAGCGTGGCCGGCTTGCCGTCCGCGGTCTCGAGCTTGTCCTGCGGGTCCTTGTAAAGCGCGGGCTCCTCCGCCGGCTTCGCGCCGCCCTTCTTGCCGCGTTTTGCCTTCGGCTCTGCCGATGATAATTGCGTTCAGGTTTTAACTCGGTACATTCGGAACCCGTCCCATTATTATTGCAGAGGGATATCGCAAATGCACCGTTTCACAGAAGTCTGCAGTAGGTGACGAATATGCTTTGTTTAATCACAATCGAGTAAATTTCAGGGAATATTACAAAGTTGGTAAATTTGGACTACGATGCCAGAACACATGGGCGACTCATTTCGAATGACGTCATGGGAATCTTTAACATTCACTGTGAACCAGACGACGTTTAGTATTTTATGGTTAATGCACTCAGTCATAACCAGGGTGGCTTGCCGGAGTTGAACCACGAACCTCTACAGCACGCAAATGTGCTAGCACTGTGCCGTGTCACTGCGCCAATGCAACGCTTTAGATCAAGACCAACTAGGCACAAAAGCCGCCATAAAGACCCCTTGCACCTTAACAACCCTCAACTTGCAAGTTAGTGTGTGCATCATCTGATTTTGTATCTACTTGCTCGTCTGGGTGTGGTATCTATATAATTTGCAAGTGTCTGTCAAGCTCTGCATCTCCCAAACGGTACGAGGGAAGAAAACGTGTATAGCGGGTCAAGTGGACAAGCAGAGGCCGTGTTGGGACACCGGGGGTCGGCGCAGTGGGGACCCCCCGTGCCTCAAAGCAAGAAGCGCTTTTGGGAGGTTCGATTCCTGACTCGGTCGCCTTTCTGCGTGGAGTTTGTGCGTTCTAGCTATGCTCTTACGTGGGTTTCCTCCCATAGATGGATGAAACAATGTAACCAGTATTGACCAAATATATCCCAGTGTTAAAAACTAGTAAATACAACAAAAAAATGTTTATTTTACCAGGGAAGGCCCACTGAGCTATAAAGTTATTTTTCACAATTGATAGCTCAATGATGTGGCTTATCACGTGTACATAACAGCCAAACACTATAAACGCGTGATGTTGATTCTAAATGTGGAGGGAAAAACCGGACGATCCGGAGAAAAATCCATGCGACAACGGGGAGAGACACGCAAACCATACAACAGGCGTCAGGTTCAGGATCGAACCCACGACCTCCTGTATACTAGGCGAGGTAGTTAACACCTAACCTCCGTGGCACCCCAATACATTACCTGCAAATGACTATTGGGGATTATAAAGAACAGCAGCATCGCCCCTGCGAGAACACGGCAGGGGCCTCCTCAAACGTAGTCCTGAGACTCTGCGAGGGGGCGGGCATGGCGCCCTCCTCCGCGCTGCACGTGGCCTCCCGTGCTCGCACACAAAGACAAAGGCGGGCTCCAGAACAACAGTGGGAATGTTGGTTCCTGTCACTTAAAAAGACGTCATGTGTTCGGCCACGTGGCTTTGTGCCGCTGGTTGGTGTGTGGAGAGCCATGACCGAGGGCTGCGCGACTCTTTAAGCCTCCGCTTACGAGGTTGGCACCTTCAGCAAACGAGCAGACGAGCGGGGCTCACGCGGCCATCGTCTAATGCGCACTTGGCTGTGTGGCAGCCGAGTCTGGGGGCCCCCTCTCGGCACTGCCCGAGACGAGCGTCAAGACGGACGTCAGTCTCAGCATCTCCAACATCACTGTCTCACATCACTGCCTCGCCATCACACACAAACCACACGAGTCTTTCACACCATCAACATCAACAAAGACGCCCCCCGTGTAGCCTTAACAAACCTTAACGAGCACCTATGAAGGGATGGCACAAGATGCGGTGGGTGGCCAGCACCACACCCGGTCGCCTGTCTCCCTAGTGGCGATGTTTACACACCGCACCAGGTACTAATTTGAGGCCGAGTCGACCTAGGGGAGCGGTTCAGATAATAGGACGGGTTCAGATAATCGTCACTGGTGTTGCCCCCGAGTAGGAATCGAACCCGTGTCGTCAAATTCGCAGCGCAGCGCGCTAACCACGTAACATCAGTTGCCCACATCAAGGGAGTCTCACCATCGTCGCTGGGGGCTTCTACCGCCGTTGCCTCTTGCTCCTTCTTGGCGCGACGCGGCATTGCAACCCTGAGGGAGGAGGGCGGCGAGCAGAGAAACGTGAGGCAAGGGTGGAGTGAGAGGCGATGAGGGGGAGTGGACCGCGAGAGACCGAGGGGAGAGAAGGGATTGATGCGGAGGGGGGTGGAGAGCTGGGTTGAGAGGCAGAGAGGGTGCGCGATGGAGAGAACCCCGCCAGGAGGAGGAGCTGGGAAACGGCGAAAAGGGCGGAAAATGAATGGAATCCGAATCCCCCGAAGCGTCCACGCCGCGCCGCCCCGAAGCATGAATGGCGTCCTCACGGGACGGGGTGATGCGGGCGAAGGTGCCGCACTTGCGAGTGGCGAGCGCGGAACCCAGGGACCCGCGCCACTTGGTAGGAACGGGTGGGGGCGACTCCCGCCGCGTCTCGACGCCGCCGCAGCCCCTCACCCCCGCCCCGAAGCCCCACCCCCGCCCCGAAGCCCTTCCCCCCCGCCCCGAAGCCCCTCCCACCCGCCCCGAAGCCCCTCCCACCCGCTCCGAAGCGCCCCCCCCCGTGCTTCCCCCTGCACCCTCCCCCCATACCCCCCCCGCACCCCCCATGCTCCCCCCATCACGTGACGGGCGGCGCCACCAATCGCGAAGCGGAACCACGCAGGGGCGCGAGCAGCGGCAAGGTGTGCACTGTACACTACACTGTACATACTATACACGACACCACGCGACACTGTACAAACTAAAACACCGCACACATTGCGCACACTAACACTGCGCATACCAATAGTGTACGCACTGTACACATCGACACCGTGCACACTGGCGCTAACACTGCGCACTGTACATACTAACACTGTACACACTACACACTGAACACACCAACACTTAACATACTAACACTGTACACACTAACACACTGCAGTAACACTGTACACACCTAACATACTAACACTGTACACACCTAACATACTAACACTGTACACACTAACACACTGCACTCTAACACTGTACACACTGAAAATACTAACACTGTACACACCTAACATACTAACACTGTACACACTGAACATACTAACACTGTACACACCTAACACACTGCACTCTAACACTGTACACACCTAACATACTAACACTGTACACACCTAACATACTAACACTGTACACACTAACACACACTGCACTCTACCACTGTACGCACTGAACATACTAACACTGTACACACCTAACATACTAACACTGTACACACCTAACATACTAACACTGTACACACTAACACACATTGCACTCTACCACCGTACGCACTGAACATACTAACACTGTACACACCTAACATACTAACACTGTACACACCTAACATACTAACACTGTAAACACTAACACACTGCACTCTAACACTGTACACACCTAACATACTAACACTACGCACTGTACACACTAACACACACTGCACACTAACACACACTGCACACTAACACTGTACACTAATATTCTTTGGGTCTGTCGGTAAAGTAATGTAGATAGGTTCAAAGAAAAAAATAACAAAAAACTACGACGTTTCGATCGCAACACAAGCGATCGTCATCAGGAGGAAAAGAGGGGGAAAGCTGCTGAGGCAGACTGTTTTAAAGGTTTAAAATGGGTGTAGCCCATGGGTCATAAAGGCAGTGGGCGGGGCTAGGGATGTTAATGTGAGAGATTAGCATGTTAATGTAAGATAGGAGAGCGGCCTCCACAAGAGCATGGAGGTGGCTATGTTACTGTGAGAGATTAGCATGTTAATGGCGGATCGCAGAGCATCAACGTCGAGCTCTGTGAGCAAGGTGGCTGTGTTAGTGTGGGAAATTTAACCTGTTAATGTAAAATCAGAGAGCCGAAAATAACAACTAACATCGGAAGGTGGTAGGATGGGAACATCACAGCCAGTTGTGACTTAAACTGGTTGATAACGTCCTTCCAACGATTGCTCAGTTTATACCCATCTTCTCTATTGAAGTTGTGTCTCTATATGTGGATGGCTTCATGAACGAATCTTTGTTAGTTGTTATTTCGGCTCTCTGATTTTACATTAATAGGTTTAGATTTCCCACACTAACACAGCCACCTCGCTCGCCAAGCTTGACGTTGCTGCTCTGCGATCCGCCATTAACATGCTAATCCCTCACATTAACATTGCCACCTCCGCGCCTTCGTGGAGGCCGCTCTCCTATCTTACATTAACATGCTAATGTCTCACATTAACATCCCTAGCCCCGCCCACTGCCTTTATGACCCATGGGCTACACCCATTTTAAACCTTTAAAACAGTCTGCCTCAGCAGCTTTCCCCCTCTTTTTTCCTCCTGATGACGATCGCTTGTGTTGTGATTGAAACGTCGTAGTTTTTTTGTATTTTTTTCTTTTAACCTATCTACGTTACTTTACCGACAGACCCAAAGAATATGAATTCCTGCAGTCACGAAAGCTTTAAGTCAAGATTTAACTACTAAACATACTAACACACTCTACACACTAAACACTAACACTGTTCTGTTTCCGGCGAGAGTTCAGAATCTGTCCCAACTGCACACTACACACGCAACATACTACACGTAGTATGTATGTTGAACTTCTTTCCCACCGTACGTAGCTAACCGTGCTAATCAGAGTTGCGGGGGAAGGACAACAAACTAAACACAACACACTACACTATCATCGTAGTATTGTATGCTTGCCAACATCTTTTTTTTTTATAGCATATTAGTCACTAACATGCGACTGAAGTTAAGCTGACCACATCCATTCTGTCTTTGATGACGGCAGATGACCGTTGTCATTGGCTTTGAGGGCAGTGCAAACAAGCTGGGGATCGGCATTGTGCGAGATGGTGTCGTCCTCTCCAACCCACGTTGCACCTACATCACTCCTCCTGGCCAAGGTGGGTTCTTGCACAACGTACAGTCACCCCGGGACCTGTAATATTGACGATTCCTTTTCACATAGCGGCGTCATTCGTGAAAATTCCATCTCGAGATATGGTGGGATTTGTAACGTGCTGCGCAGATTTCACACAGGCGCAGGAATCCGCAAACAAGGGGGGAAGGCCACTAGAACCGGCGCCAACTATTGCCCAAGTTCTGTGGTCCTATATTCGGGTGTTTGGCCAACTCCATTCATGAGTGCTAATACAATACATGGGGAATTTAATGGGCTAATTGAGGACTGTGAAGGTGGTGGGGCTGACACCATCACCACCATCATCGCCACTACTGCCACTACCATCATCACCACCACGACCACCACTCACCACCATCACCACCTCTACCGCCACTACCGCCGCTGCCGCCATCAGCACTACCACCACTGGCCACCATGGTCGCCATTGCGGAATGGTAAGGAAACTCCACTGGCAAGGGTAGCACCACTCATACTCAGGTGACCTCACCCACTTGGGAGTCAGTCTGTGTATTACACACACATATAGCCAAACGAATGCAAGAAGCACCTGGGTTCGATACCCGACTCGGGCACATTTCTGCGTGGAATTTGTATGTTCCCCCCATTTCTGCATGGGGTTCTTCTGGGTTATCCGGTTTCCACCCATTGCTAAAAACCACACATAATGTAACCGGTATTGGTCAAACATCCTAATGCTGAACTATTACTGTACCTGAAAATTACTCAGAAACCTCTCCCTCTCCTGTGAAAATTTGGCAGAACCTTCCTTAAAAAGAGTCTTGAGACTCAGTGAAGCTTCCTCTGTAAATATCTAGAAATAAAGAATGATTTAATATATTTGTTGTAGCTGTTATCTCCAAATTTAAACTAACTTATGTATTATGTAGTTTTTTTCATCAAACTAAAACCCATATCTAAGAGAGAGGGTGCTTGAGAGGGTGTTTGCCTCTCCATATCTGGTAGTTTGGCAGTGTCAAGCAAGTCTGACTGCTGATGAGATGCTTAATGTGAAAACCGTTTCAGAGTTTTGCTTGTGTTGAAACTGCTGCAGAAATGATTCACTGCCAGAAGGCTGTGTGGGATGTGTTAAGCAGTACTATGTTGAGGGATGGATAAGTCAAGGAGAAGGCGTTTTTATTGTGTGCTATTGGAGCAGGGTTTCTACCGCGGGACACAGCTAAGCACCACCAGGAGCGAGTGTTGGAGATCTTGCAGAAAGCTCTGGATGAGGCTGGGATTGCGCCACACGAGATTGACTGTGTTGCATACACAAAAGGTGAGCTTGGGAATTATTGTGTTGGCAAGATCGTTTTGAATGATTGTCCCTTTGCAAAGAATAATCTTTAAAAAGTAGGATTGTTAAACGACTGGAAAACTGGTAATCGTCAATCGTTTAATGGTTTAAAAATGCAGGAAGCGGTAACCAATGATTCCAGTGGGGTGTGGGTAATGGGTGCACCGATTGGTACACGTGGACGTGCAAACAGCACAGTGGCACTAGTCACCGCATGCACACGGCCCCTGTGGTTTGCAATTGCAGAGTGCTACTATCACACTGAAATAAATTAATATTTATAGAAAAAAATCTGTTATTTTCACTTACCTTGGATCTTAATGCTGGCTTGCTTGTCAGAAGGGGCACAATAAGTCACCACAATTGCACACACACACAGGGGGCATCCTCGCACACACACTCATCATCGACAACGATCCCCTGTATATCCTTAACAGACTGTTGGGGCAAATGGTGTTAGTGAGCACCTATGAAGGCTGGCACAGCACACGAGGGGGTGGGTGGCCAACACCACGCCCGGCTGTTTTTCCCCCCAATAGTGATGTTTGCACACCACACCAGGTACTCATTTGAGGCTGAGTCGACCTAAGGGAGGCCCATGACCAGTTTAGATAATCATCACTGGTGTTGGTTGTGAGCGGGAATCGAACTTGGGTCTTCGGGTTCATCGTGCAGCGTGTTTACCACTACACTACTTTTACCCACACACTCACTTTCGCACACATACACTTGCACGTGCCAGTACACACGCACAAACACTCACTCCCAGCGCAAGGCTGACTCATCACATCTCGCAGAGGATCGCGTTTTAAGTCAATGTAATATATATAATTAATTTAAGCTTGTTCGGACGTTGGGTGTTCGTAAATCGAGGTCTGCCTGTAATTATTCAGCATTGGGATGTTTGGCCAGTGCCACAACTACATTGTGTGTGTGGGTTTACCTATGGAAGGAAACAAGAGAAGCCACGCAGAGGAAACCTATGGAGAACAGGGGGAGAAAATGCATTTCCACTGCGCCACCACCCTGCCGCCCAGTGTGGTGCTTTTTGAAGCAAATATGTGGATGCCAGCGATGTCTGCTCCCAACGTGTACCTCGTGTGCAGGCCCCGGGATGGGCGCCCCGCTGGTGTCCGTGGCCCTGGTGGCTCGCACTGTGGCCCAGCTGTGGAGCAAGCCTCTGGTAGGAGTGAACCACTGCATTGGCCACATTGAAATGGGGCGGCTCATCACTGGAGCGCACAACCCGATAGTGCTGTACGTCAGCGGAGGCAACACACAGGTGAGGGTGGGCGAGTGGTCTGTGGTGTCGAGGTGCTTGTTTGATAATTATAATGGGTGGAAGGAGCCTCGACCGGTAACAAACATCCCCATCAAAGTTACAATCGGTAAGAGTAAACACGTTTCTTGAATTGAGTAAAGTTACAAGAGCTTGGGAACATTTATGATGGTAGGGAATTCGAAAGTGAAGCAGTGTGAGGGAAGAAGCTAAAGGAAAAGTGTTGTGACCTGCAGTGTGGTGATTGAGTGGGTGGGTTGTTGAGTGGGTGCTTGGGTGAGTGAGAGTGGGTGTGTTGTTTTGACCTGCAATGTGGTAGTTGAACACAGTATGAATGAGATTCAATTATGTTAAATAGACACTCAATATGAGTGGAGGAATCAACGAGTGAACTTCACACCAACAGTAACCATGGTAGTTACGAAAGAAGAGTGATAAGGAGGCAACTGACTGCCAGTGAGCGTGGTTAGAGAGTAATTGAGTCTTTGACGCTTGTATGCAATCTACACCAGGGGTCAGCAACCTACGGATCTGCAGCCACATGGGGCTCATTAAGGACTGCTTTGTGACGTTATTTATTAAGGACCACCATCTTGTATTCACATGGTTTGCGGCTCTTGAAATATTAAGTTTTTTACCAAATAAAAAATGGCTCTTCTTGTTATTTTGGTTGCTGACCCCTGGTCGAAGCGCTACATGAAGAGTGTCTGCCGAGGACGCCTGCTGGAGGTTGTTATGTGGACGTCAATTTATTATTTCACTTGTTTACTCGGGAAAGCGTCACTGAGTCTCAAGACTTTTTCTAGAGGGTCCTGCAAGTTTTTGCAGTTGGGGTTGATGCTCCAGCTGTGTGTAATCCCAATTGAGTCATTTTCAGGTGATTTTTCAGCTTTGGGATGCTTGGCCAATACCGTTAAAGTGGCTTTTAGTTTATGGGAGGTAATCGGAGAACCGGGAGAAAACCCATGCACAGGGGTCGACAATCTAAATTTAAAAAAACTCAATATTTCTAGAGCCGCAATGCATGTGAATATTGTCACGAAGCGGTCCTTAAAGGGTCGCATGCGGCTCCGGAGCTGCAGGTTTCCTACCCCTTCTCACGCAGAGCAGGGAGAGAACACAAACTCCACGCAGAAAGGTGCCTGAGTCTGGAATGGAATCCAAGCCCCTGGAGCTGTGAGGCAGTGCGAGTGTTACAACCACACTGTCACCCCACTGCTGAGGCAGTTGACGATAGGGGTTATGCTAAAGTGAGCGGCAGAGGCCAACGCTTCATAGGAAAAATAGTTCTCATATGAAGATTAAAATATTGTCATGCAAGTCACATTCTTATCTGGCAGTGAAACGAGTTGACAGTGACGCACTTTGCAGGTGATTGCTTACTCTCAGAGGAGGTACCGCATTTTTGGGGAAACCATCGACATCGCGGTGGGAAATTGCTTGGACAGATTTGCTCGGGTACTCAAGGTAAGCTCTGACATCCTTTTTTTAAAATCCGACACATGCAAGGATGAGTTTGACAAAGCAACTCAGTGGCCTGTTATGAAATTAAATATACAATCGTAATAAAAGCTTTGAGAAAATCTAGTTAAATATTGCAAAGTAATAACAATAGAAAATGTTAGTGAATGAGCAAATTTGAAGCTCATATTTACGTGGGCCTCCGTGTTATTGCTGTTTTAAATAATGGACTGTATGAATAGTGTAGTTTCTTTAAAAATTACTCACACCGACACGTAGTAACAAGTCACCTGCTTACACTTTATTTTTTCTGTCTCGCGCCAGTTGTAGGCACTCCTATATCTATCTTTACGGTCACATACACTTGACTTCTCCCCGCTCTGATCTATTCTGCACCTCACCTATCCTGCACTCAGCAACTCCGCACTCAGCGACTCTGCACACAGCAACTCCGCACTCAGCGACTCTTAGAACTCTGCATCTCCACCGCTGCCCTCACCTATGTTGCCTCATAACCGCTCACCCGTCTGTCACGGGTGGGGGGTTCAGCCAACACCCGCCCGGCAACGGCGTGAGGGTCGAGACTTCATTTACGGCTTGTGCGGCAGCGGCAAGATGTCTTCACTCTTGGTTCCTGGGCAACGCTCCTCCGTTCATGCACACTCCCGCTTATATCCCCCTGCTCATTCCAAGTCCTCACATGCTTCCCCTTAACCGCCACCTGCCCGGCGCCTGGTGTCCTCATGAATCTTTTATCATCAACCCCCATCTCCAGTCATCCCGACGCCAAATTCCGGCTTCAACGTTCCCATCTATTTGCCCTCGTTTGCACCCGCTTCTCCCCTTAATTACTATCGCTTTGTCGGTGCAAACCTCATGTTGCAACGTGCACACCTGTTTGTCCTCAGTTGCACCAGCTTAACTGCGCGCACCACGTATTTCTCTCTACAATAGTAATACCAGTTGACCATGGCCAATAATGATTCTTATGAATGTCGCTGCAGGAGTTGTGTGGTGGTAACGATTGCTGCATGGTCAGGGTGCTTGGAGACATTGATTGTAAGAATTCCCGAATGTCCAAAAATATAGAGTAATGATTGTTTTGTTTGTCTCCTAGATATCCAATGATCCAAGCCCTGGATACAACATTGAGCAAATGGCAAAGAGGTATGACAAATGCAGCATTTTGTAATTTGGCAATGCAATAACACCAATGCTCTTGCATGTGTAAGGACAGTACGGGGTGATGTAGGGATAGTACAGCTCCTCATGGCCATGGTTACTAATTAACGTAACGGGAACAGACAGGGTCACGTTAAGGTAATGTGGGACCTAAGCAATGTGGGACCCAGGATTTTCAGGTGGGGGGGCATCCCCTCCAGCAATAAAAAATGATAGGAGTTGTTAGTAAGGACGTGTCCCTTGCTTTTTATTCGACGCGTGTGCGGCGATGGCGCAGCCATCAATCGAGGGTCGAATTCGAACCGTGTGTTTGGCATCGCACTCGCTGAAGGTGAATGCCTTCAGGGAAGTCGTGTACTGTATACGCAACTGCGCACAATTCTGTGAGTCACTTATAACTGCTTTGCCGTTACTTATTGCCAATTATGGACTCGGACTATTGTCCGATCATTCCATAGAGTCCCTGGCACGTAATATTATGCTACACAGTGGCAGTGGGGGTTGCAAAATGCCGATTAATTACAATGATCCGATCGAAATTTGGGATTTCGATCGGATCATTGGGGGGGCACGTGCCACCCCACCCCCCTCACTGGCTCCGTCAGTGGACCTAAGTTGTTGCTAATAATGAGTGATGCAACAAGCGTTGACAGGCTCGCGTGAGGGGAAGCACGGGACCTAACGGTCGTAAATTGTAATAAGGGCAGAGACAGACAGGGCCAGGTGCGGTGAGAAAGAGTTTGGGAATAGGGGCGTGGCCGGGTCGTGAGGGGAATAAGAGCCGGCGCGAACCGGGACGCTGGGCTGCTGTTGTGGGGGAATTGCCGTCGCCGTCGTCACCTTGGAGCAGGTCGTCTTCATCATCCTGGAGTGGGCACCTTGTAATCTTGGAAGGCGAGAGTTATGTTGTCTCAGAATAGAGTTATCTAAGTTGTCCAAGTGTATATAGTCACTCGCGGTTACTTGTTAAGTTATAAGTGAGTCGGCGGATTTTATTAATAATAAATATACATATAACTGAACAAGACGATGTCTCTGAGAGCTACATGACTTTGTATTGGAAATCCTTGTTGATGTTGAATTTAAAAAAACGTCAAAATGATTTCCTGCTGAAATGAGCACCAATGTGGCACTCATGTTCCTATTTACAGCCCTGAGCAAATAGTGAAAATTCCACATTCATACGACAGGAGAGTCTATCCGTAAGATAACCAATGTTGACTACCCCGCAAAATCGTACTCATTGTATCAATCGAGGGAGGGGTGATGGACTGGGTCATCCACCAGCCATGATTTGAACTCGCATCCTCCGCATGGTGAGACCCTGGCTCCAGCGCCAATGCTGATGTTGCCAGCCAGTCATGTATGGCGTGCGCTGTGCCTGACCCAGAGGGAGCTTTGTGGAGTTGCCGTACACTGTCAAGGGCATGGACGTCTCCTTCTCAGGGATCCTCTCCTATATTGAGGTGAGCGCATAGCAGGTTTCATTACACTGATTAGCATAGATTCTTATCATATTCGTGGCGAGCCCAGGGGTCGGCAACCTGCTGCTCCGGAGCCGCATGCGGCTCTTTAAGGACTGCTTCATGACGTTCTTTATTATGGATCACTGTCTCGTATTCACATGCATTGCGGCTCTTGAAATATTGAGTTTTTTTTACCGAATTTGAAAAAAAAATTATCTTGTCATTTTTATTGCCAACCCCTGGACTAGCCGGACATTTCAGTGAGCTGGATCAGGGCTCCCCCCTCCTACTGCAGCTAGTCGGGGTTTTACTCTGATTATATTCTCCAATACGATGCTCACCATTGCTGTGTTAATAGATATTATTTGGCGATGGTCATTTCGATGCAACAATCCATTTGGTGCCTACTAGTGAGATTTCATTTCTGCGTATCTACGGTATCCGTCCTCTTGGTTTTGTTCTCTCATTTGACTGTTATGCCATCGCCAGTCTTGACCATCGGCCATCATCCCATCATGTGATGTGTCCTTCCCAAGCCCACTTACCTCTCCTATTGATCAACACAATGTATGTATGTTAAATTTCTTTCGCACCGTATGTAGCCAACCGTCTTACTTAGAGGTGCGGGGGAAGGACAACAAACTAAACACAAAAGGCAGTTCTAAAGCAATGACTTTTCAATCTATATGATTTAAAAGTACGTAGCTCCAGTGGCTTCCTAACATCAGAAGGAAGAGCGTTCCAGACGGCTGCAGCATCACATACATACGGGAACAGTGGGTCGCACGTCAGCTGTGCAACAGTTGTGGCATCTGGCCCAGGCAAGAGGTGCGAGTGTCGCTGGGTGGCCTCCCCAGCACGGTTTGTGGGGAGCTCTCACCACTTGACATTGGGCATGTGTGGTCTGTGCATGCGGCATGCAGGAGGCAGCGCAGAGAATGCTGGCGAGCGGCGAATGCACTGCAGAAGATCTATGTTTCTCATTGCAGGTATTAAATTTGGGGCTATGTCCTGTTGTAGTTTATCTTGACTTAAAGCTTTCATGACTGCAGGAATTCATATTCTTTGGGTCTTTCGGTAAAGCCACGTAGATAGAAAAATAATAAAAATATTACGACGTTTCGATCACAACACAAGCAATCGTCATCAGATGAAAAAATATAGTGGGAGAGCTACTGAGGCAGGAAAAAATATAGCGGGAGAGCTGCTGAGGCAGGATGTTATAAAGGTTTGAGATGGGTTTCAGCTAAATGCAAAGATAACCTGATTTCCAAGTTTAACCTCTTTTCCAAGAAGAAGCCAGATCCACACGTTAAAAAGTTAGATGGTGACAAGATTATAATCTTAGCTCTTTCGGTAAAGTCACGTTGAAGGAAACAATAAAATAATAAAATATATATAAAACAATAAAAATTGTCACGACGTTTCGACCATAACACAAACGGTCATCATCAGGTGTGAAAAGCAATGGCAAGAAACATTTGAAAGAAGTGGTGGTTTGCATTTATTTATTTTTAAACGGTGTTTTATTTATTTAAAATAAAAATAAAATTAAAATAAACCGTGAGCACCACAGGCAGCGATTTGGCAGTTTGTTTAGAAGGACGAGTCCATCTATGTTCTGAAAAGAGGAGGGCTGAGACGAAAAATTAATGTATGCTGTCTGAAAGGGTGACAAGATTGTTATCAATCAGAGTAACAGCCCAATTTCCGACAGCCTAAAATCGGTTCTAGCTAAACGGTTGAATTTCGCAGTCACCCCTAAACATCCCAGTTGATGGTATTATTGCCCAGGTTGACGTAGCCCTTAATGGTTTGGGATACATTCCTGCAGATGTGGCAAGATCGGAAATCGCTGCCATCCTCAAAAACGCTAAGACACCTATTAGCAACTTCAGCAAGGATGAGCGCTTTGAGCTTTCTCAACTAAAAAAGAGAGATGACATAGTCATCCTCTCAGCCGACAAGGGCAATGCCACTGTAATCATGGATAAAACCACATACAATAACAAAATTCAGGACCTACTTAACGATGGCAGCTATACCAAAATCAATAGAGATCCTACCAACCGCCTGGTTACAAAAACCAACAATATCATCACTGATTCGACATCTTTAATTGAGCCAACCTAGCGGCTTTCCTTAAAACCCTCTGCTGCTAGACCACCCAGATTTTATGGCTTACCAAAAATCCATAAAGAAGGTACACCACTCCGTCCTATCGTCTCCACCATTGACTCACCCACCTACAAACTGGCCCGATTTCTGAGACCTTACAACCATTCACTGGTAAGACCACCTCAGCTGAACTTAACTCAGCTCACTTGGTATATTTAATTAAGGACATCTCACTATCTCCAGGTGATTTGCTTGTCAGTTTCGATGTAGTCTCCCTGTTCACCAAGGTACCTGTGCCTGATACCATTGAAATCATTGAACATTTGGTCCAACAAGGACTGAATGCTGATGTACCGGCCCTGGTTAGACACTGCCTCACCAATACTTCACCTGGAATGGAACATTCTACAAACACGTTGAAGGTATCCCAATGGGTTCTCCATTATCTCCAGTTGTAGCCAATGTTTTCATAGAAAATTTTGAAACAGATGCCATTCAGGCATCCACTCTACGTCCTTCCTTGTGGAAGAGATACGTAGATGACACGTTTGTCATCTAGCCACATGTCCTACCAGTTCTGGGTCAATTCTTCAACCACATCAATTCCATACACTCAGCCATCAAATTCACCATGGAGGTGGAAAAGGATGGCAAGTTACCACTCTTGGATGTTTTAATCGAAAAGAGACCAGATGGCTCAGTGGGACACTGTCTACAGGAAAGCCACCGATACAGATGCCAACCTAAAACCTGACTCCCACCACCATCGATCCCAGAATAATTCCCTCATCAAAACTCTACACCATAGAGCTCGTTGTATTTTCAACCGTCACCACCTAGCCAGTGAACTGGAGCACGTACACCAATCCCTCAAGATGAACGGATATTCAGACTACACAATCTGAAAAGCTATCACCCCAACCATTGGGAAAGAACCATCTGAGGACCCAATCAAAACCATCACCTTGCCATACATAGCAGGGGTTACCAAAAAGATTTCCAAAATCATGAGCAAACACAAGATCGAGGTTCTATTCAACACAGTACATAAAATTTGTGATCTGATCCCATCTATGAAGGATGTGATCCCTGACATGCAATACCCCGGTGTCTACAAGCTAAGCTGTGTCTGCGGCAGGAGTTACATTGGGGAAACTAAGCGACATGTCTTGGACCATGTTCGTGAACATAAGGTAGATCTGAAAGACGGTAGGACCAATACCTCAGCCGTGGCTGATCATTGTTTTAACGCTGTGGGCACACACGAAATAGATTTTTCCAAGACGAAGGTACTCTGCAAACCCACTGGCTATCAGCAAAGATTTAGTTCATGAAGCCATTGAGATATATAAACACAGACAACATTTCAACCAAGAAGATGGGTACAAACTGAGCAATCATTGGAAGGACGTTATTAACCAGTTTAAGTCATAACTGGCTTTATGTTTCCATCCTACCTGCCGATGTTACCAGTTATTTTTGACTCTCTGAGTCACATTAACAGGTTAAATGGCTTTACATTAACAGGCTAAATGTCTCACTAACACAGCCACCATTGCTCGTTTTCCTCGATGTGGTGGGGGCTCCCGTTTTTTTCTTACATTGACATGCTAATCTACCAGTTAAAATGTCTTTATTCATAATAAACGTTTTTAGGTTAGATCGTGTTATTTATAAATGTGTCGTAGCCCTCCACCACCCGACACGGCCAATCAGTAAAAAGTGTCACATTGACAAAAGACAAAGTTCACTACTTTAGCCCACCGGTGTTTTGAAGAGTGAATTCACAACATTTACAATTTTTGAGTACGACGTTTCGCTGGTAATTACATTCAGTATCATCGGCAATTTGCCAAAATAGTGAAGCCCTCACTTGCTCCTGGTCTTAAATAGAGCAGCAGGGTGACGTCATCATTTAACCCATTCAGGTGCAGTGATTTGAGGCAGGGGGGTTTATTGTAATTATATAATAGACTAGCTGTACTACCCGGCTTCGCCCGGGACATGGCCCAGGAACAGTTAAAATAATTGTCACCGGTGGTGGCCGTGAGCAGGAATCGAACTCGGGTCGCCAGGTTCGTAGCGCAGCGCGCGAACCGCTCCGCAGTCCCCACACACAGGATAAAGACAATCCCCCATGTAGCCAGTAGGGGGCAAGTGCTGTGAAGGCCGGCACGGCATACGAGGGGGCGGGTGACAGCAGCACGCCCGGCCGCCTTTGTCTCACCAGTGGCAATGTTCACACACCACAGCAGTTACTGGCTTGAGGCTGAGTCGACGTAGGGGAGGCCCAGAATCGGTTGAAATAATCGTCACCGGTGGTGGCCGTGAGTGGGAATCGAACTCAGGCCGCCGGAATCGTAGCGCAGCGCGCTAACCGCTACACTACAATGCGTTACGCTTCCACATGCGCGGGTCACATGACAGATTTGACATCACAGCTCACTTGCCGTGCAAAAAATATATGCATTATTGAGCTCCCCTCCCCCAAAAAAACAAAAGTGTATTTTTATAATTTTTGCATGGTGTATAGTCTGGAAAGTACCCACATGGCAAATTTCCAGTTTGTTGCATGTCGGGAAGTACGCTAAACATTTTGAACAGACACACATATTCACAACTTTGCCTTTTATATATATGGAGATTAGTAATCAGTCAATTGTTATGATTAGTAATGAGTTGTAGATTAGTAATTAGTTGTAATGTGTATTATCTAATAACTGAATCCAATTACTATAACCACTCAAGTGCAGAAATTAAAGGTGAGGGGGGGGGAGATGGTTATTGTAATTACAGTGAGGGAAAAAAGTATTTGATCCCCTGCTGATTTTGTACGTTTGCCCACTGACAAATAAATTATCAGTCTATAATTTTAATGGTAGATTTATTTGAACAGTGAGAGACAGAATAACAACAACAAAATTCAGAAAAACGCATGTCAAAAATGTTATAGATTGATTTGCGTTTTAATGAGGGAAATAAGTGTTTGACCCCTCTGCAAAACATGACTTAGTACTTGGTGGCAAAACCCTTGTTGGCAATCACAGAGGTCAGACATTTCTTGTAGTTGGCCAACAGGTTTGCACACATCTCAGGAGGGATTTTTTCCCACTCCTCTTTGCAGATCTTCTCCAAGTTATTAAGGTTTCGAGGCTGACGTTTGGCAACTCGAGCCTTCAGCTCCCTCCACAGATTTTGTATGGGATTAAGGTCTGGAGACTGGCTAGGCCACTCCAGGACCTTAATGTGCTTCTTCTTGAGCCATTCCTTTGTTGCCTTGGCGGTGTGTGTTGGGTCATTGTCATGCTGGAATACACATCCACGACCCATTTTCAATGCCCTGGCTGAGGGAAGGAGGTTCTCACCCAAGATTTGACGGTACATGGCCCCGTCCATCGTCCCTTTGATGCGGTGAAGTTGTCCTGTCCCCTTAGCAGAAAAACACCCCCAAAGCATAATGTTTCCACCTCCATGTTTAACGGTGGAGATGGTTTTCTTGGGGTCATAGGTAGCATTCCTCCTCCTCCAAGCACGGCGAGTTGAGTTGATGATAAAGAGCTCCATTTTGGTCTCATCTGACCACAACACTTTCACCCAGTTGTCCTCTGAATCATTCAGATGTTGATTGGCAAACTTCAGACGGGCATGTATATGTGCTTTCTTGAGCAGGGGGGCCTTGTGGGCGCTGCAGGATTTCAGTCCTTCACGGCGTAGTGTGTTACCAATTGTTTTCTTGGTGACTATGGTCCCAGCTGCCTTGAGATCATTGACAAGATCCTCCTGTGTAGTTCTGGGCTGATTCCTCACCGTTCTCATGATCATTGCAACTCCACGAGGTGAGATCTTGCATGGAGCCCCAGGCCGAGGGAGATTGACAGTTATTTTGTGTTTCTTCCACTTGCGAATAATCGCACCAACTTTTGTCACCTCACCAAACTGCTTGGCAATGGGCTTGTAGCCCATTCCAGCCTTGTGTAGGTCTACAATCTTGTCCCTGACATCCATGGAGAGCTCTTTGGTCTTGGCCTTGGTGGAGAGTTTGGAATCTGATTGATTGATTTCTTCTGTGGACAGGTGTCTTTTATACAGGTAACAAGTTAGGAGCACACTCTTAAAGGGAGTGCTCCTAATCTCAGCTCGTTACCTGTATAAAAGACACCTGGGAGCCAGAAATCTTTCTGATTGAGAGGGGTCAAATACTTATTTCCCTCATTAGAATGCAAATCAATTTATAACATTTTTGACATGCGTTTTTCTGGATTTTTGTTGTTATTCTGTCTCTCACTGTTCAAATAAACATACCATTAAAATTATAGACTGATCATTTATTTGTCAGTGGGCAAACGTACAAAATCAGCAGGGGATCAAATACTTTTTTTCCCTCACTGTATATACTACGTTAGTAATCAGTTAATTAGTATGTGTTTCTCCTATAAGGAATTGTAATATGTATTATTTAATAATACGCTTCCAGGCCGCACTAAGCCTGTAGCTGTCAGAACGATTAAAGTTATTTCTAGTGAGATGTAATTTCTCTATTCACTAAGGTTCCAGTGAACGAGTCAGTTAAATTACTTGATACACTAGTAACGAATACAGGTTTACCAAAAGATATTCTGAAACTAGCTGACAATTGTTTAAATAACACTTCTTATGGAGAGGTGATTTCTTTAAACAAAATGAAGGAGCAGCAATGGGCTCTCCTTTATCTCCAGCTATAGCAAATCTGTACATGGAAAACTTTGAAACAAGAGCAGTGCCTCGAGTACATTAAAACCATCTTTTTGGTTTATGTATGTGGATGGCACTTTGGTTGTCTGGCCACATGGTAAAGATACACTTAATGATTTTCTAAATCATCTCAATGCACAAAACCCGGCCATCCAGTTCACCATGGAAATGGAGGTGAATAACACACTCCCGTTCCTAGATATTTTGCTTGGACATGGCCTAAATGGTAAAATAAAACAGCGTTTACAGAATGCGAACGCACACATGATGCCTATCTGAATGCAGATTCACATCATCACCCAGCTCAGAAATCCTCTCTTATCAAGATGCTCATACATCGGGCTAAAACAGTGTCAGATGGTGAAAGTCTAGTGATAGAGATTAAACATGTTAAAGAAGCACTACGACAGAATGGCTACAATAATGCTCAAATTAACAGAGCACTGAATGCCAAATCACGATCGCAATGCAACACTACTGTAAGCGATGAGATTGTTAAAACAATTAAAATACCATATATCTCAGGAGTAACTGACAAATTAACCCGTGTTTTGCAAAAGCAAAACATTACAGTAAGATTTGGTACTGTACACAAAATTCAAAAACTAGTATCTTGCACTAAAGATGAATTACCTAAAATTTTAACAGAAAGTGTATATCGGATCAATTGTTAAAGTGCCAGATGCTATATTGGACAGACGTGACGTAACATCAGCGTAAGACTAAAATAACACCAAAGAAATATTAAATTATCTCAAACACAACTGTCGGCAGTGGCAGAACATGCTTGCCAACAAGGACACTCAATTGATTTTGATAACGCTGAAGTGTTGTGTAAAACTAATTATTACTGGCAAAGACTAATTAGAGAATCCATTGAAATTGGGAGAAATAGAAATAACTTTAATCGCTCTGACAGCTACAGGCTCAGTGTGTGTCCTGGAAGCGTATTATTAAATAATACATATTACAATTACTTATAGGGGAAACACATACTAATTAACTGATTACTAACGTAGTATATAATTACAATAACCATCTCCCCCCCTCCGCCCCCTTCTGATCTCTGCACCTGCTTGGGTATAATAATTGGGTTCAGTTATTAAATAATACACATTACAACGAATTACTCATCTACAACTCATTACTAATCATAACAACTGACTGATTACTAATCTATCATATAATTATAATAACCCCCCCTCCGCCTCAAATCACTGCACCTGAATGAGTTAAATGATGACGTCACCCTGCTGCTCTATTTAAGACCGGGAGCAAGTGAGGACTTCACTATTCTGGCAAATTGCCCGATGATGCTGGATATAATTACCAGAGAAACGTCGTACTCAAAAAATTGTAAATGTTGTCGATTCACTCTTCAATACACCGGTGGGCTAAAGTAGTGAACTATTTGTCTTTTGTTAACGTGACACTTTTTTGCTGATTGGCCGTGTCGGGTGGTGGAGGGCTACGACACATTTATAAATAACGCGATCTAACCCAAAAACACTTATTATGAATAATATTGGTCATGAAAGCCTACGTGTTAAAATGTGTTTACATTAACAGGCTAAATGTCTCAATAACACAGCCACTGTTGCTCGTTTTCCTCGATGTGGCAGTGGTTTTCGTTTTTCTTACATTGACATGCTAATCTCTCACAATACAATAGCCACCTCCACAGCTTCGTCGTCCTGGAGGTAGCTCAGCTCTCCGATCTTACATTGACATGCAAATTTAATCTCTAGCCCCACCCACTTTGCTTATGACCCTTGGGCTACACCCTTCTCAAACCTTTATAACATCCTGCCTCAGTCATTCTCCCGCTATATTTTTTCACCTGATGACGATTGCATGTTGCGATTGAAACGTCATGATATTTTTCTGATTTTTCTATCTACGTGGCTTTACCGAAAGACCCAAAGAATATAGTACAGTGAAACCTTGGATTGCGAGTAACTTGTTCTGCGAGTGTTTTGCAAGACGAGCAAAATTTTTAAATAAATCTTAATTTGATAAACGAGTGATGTCTTGCAATACGAGCAGTACGTACAGTATACGCTTTGTCTGCTGAGCGTCACGTGATCACAACTGAGCCAATGGTTCTTCTCTCTCTCTCGCTGCGGGATTGTGGGTAATCATCTCCCACGCTCGGTCTCAGTCGGCGTGCCTCACTCGTATAGTCAACATCCGTGCGAGCGTATACTGTTTACTACAGTATAGTGTTGTGACCACGTGTATACTGTTTACTACAGTACTATAGTGTTGTGACTACGTGTGTGTGCGTAAAGCATTTTTTTTATTTTGTGTCCAAGTGTAGTGACTGTTCTTTCGTAACTGTACTGCAAGTGAAACTCGTCCTACACAATAACCCTCCTCCTCTCCTCTCTATCGTCTCCCTCACACCAGCCACGATTAAATGTAATTAATAAATTTGATTACTTTATATTAAATTTAAATAATACAAATATAAAAAGGTATTTTGTATTAATCATTTTTATATGAATACAGTATTTTGGGGTTTTGGAACGAATCATCTGAGTTTACATCATTTCTTATGGGGAAATTCGCTTTGATATACGAGTGCTTTGGATTACGAGCACGTTTCCGGAACGAATTATGCTCGCAATCCAAGGTTTCACTGTATTGTATTTTGTTATAATCCAAGTCATGTGGAGCTGTTCATATTTGAATGAGAACTTCAAAAACTGGTTGTTAGATTTTGCATAATATCTGAAATACAAGTGTTTTTATATCCATAACTCAGAAGAGTTGCGCTTGGGTGGCAGGGTGGCACAGTGGTGACACGTTTGCCTTAGCAAGAAGTTCCTGGGTTCGAGTCCCGACTCGGGCACCTTTCTGTGTGGATTTTGTATATTCTCCCCCTGTTCTGCTACGATTTCCTCCGGGTTCTCCAGTCTCCTTCCAAAGCTAAAAAAACGTACATTTTAACTGGTATTGGCCAAAACAATGGTGCAAAGTGACCTGCAAAATACTCGATTGGGACCGTGTTGAGTGTGTGTCTGTGTATCTGCATGATGTGCGTGCTGCAGGAGACCGTGTTGAGTGTATGTCTGTGAGATGAGTGCATTGCGGGAGATCGTGTTGAGTGTGTGTCTGACGCGTGCGCTGCAGGAGATCTTGTTGAGTGTGTGTGCGACGCGCGTGCTGCAGGAGACCGTGTTTGCGATGCTGGTGGAGATCACGGAGCGTGCCATGGCACACTGCGGAGTCAGGGAGGTGCTCATCGTGGGCGGAGTTGGGTGTAAGAATCAGCAACCCTCCAGACCGGGCCCCTGCGTGTGTATGCAGGGCGGTTCACTTCATACGCGACGCACCGGGCAGCAGGCTCGAGCAGCAGCATGAGAAAAGTGAACCGGCGGGTGACTGTGACAGGGTGGCGCTGTGCTCACATTGAGAAACATGAATTGAGATTATTTATATTATTTTGCGCTATAAATGTCCAAATTATGGGTCACTTTGTGGCCAAGTCGCTTCTGAAAAAAACAAGTGAATACCTCAGTCGGCTTTGCCTGGTAGGACGGGGATGGTTTAGTTGCATTTGTATGTGTTTGGGTGATTTGTTTACCTTATACATTGCACTCCTATAGTGTATAGGGTATTGTTTGTTATAACGTTCTGACCCGCCCCTACTGGACATCTGTGAAAAAGAGCTCTATAGCTCATCGGATTCCTCCAGTATAAATCGTCTGTTAACTTGGTAAGTGTGGGAACCATCCACTAAGGTCACATGCCCCATGACTGCCATGCATAATATATGCTCATATAGTCTGTTTTTCATTGTTAAAGTGACTAAATATGTGCTATTAGATTCAGATTAATTATAAAAAATATATTGTACAAAAGAGCATGATTGATGAATTTCGTACAACTTGTGAAAATTACCGAGTATCTGCTTCACTGGAGGTTATCGCTCTCCTGGCTCTGCGCCGTCGCGTGGCATCTTTGAGGATAACTCGCCAGACGGTGGCTCTCACCCATGTGCACAGGCAACCTGCGTCTGCAGGAGATGATGGAGGTGATGTGCAAGGAGAGAGGAGCAAAGCTCTTCGCTACTGATGAGAGGTGAGCTACAATGGTGCTTCGGAACCATAGAGCTTATGTCCAGTTCGGTGGCTGCACATTTGTTTTCAAGAGAGTTTGCCAGTGCACCTGGTGGAGATTTCAAGGGATGTTGCCTTTTATTCTTAAACTCCAAACCTGTACACGAGAAGCATCGCATGGGGCCTCTCGCTCCACGCTAGGCACGAAGCGTGCACCCGTGATCCATCAGCACGGAGGACAGGCTGTTCTAGATTTGAAGCTTTCGTGACTGCAAGGATCCATACTCTTTGGTTCTATTCGGTAAAGTCACGTAGGTAAAAAATAAAACAACAAAAATCACGACGTCTCGGCCACAACACAAGCGGCCTTCATCAGGTGAAGGGACCAAACTGTCTCGAGGACAGCGCTGGAGTGAAACACAGCCAAGCTCAGACCGCGACCTTTAAGCTGTGTGAGAGTAATTAAGGTGCCTTGACAAAGGAATTAGCATAAAAATTTGCATTTAATAGGCGGACTTAGCATGATGAAAGGTAGGGAGGGGATCGACCTGTGCAGGCTGGCGAAGGAGCAAGGTAGCGTCCACATACTGGTGGTGTGAAAAGGGGAATTTAAGAAGCTGCGAAAGTTTGGGGTACCACTACTTGAAAAATATACTGTACCATTGAAAATTAGTTTAATGTTTGGTTCGATTTAGAACATCTTTCCAATGTTTGCTTAATTTGAAACCATCTTCTCAGTTGAAATTGTGTCTGTGTTTATAGATCTGAATTGCCTCGTGAACAAATCTCTGATAAAAACCCGTGGGTTTGCAAAGAACCTTGGTATCGGAGAAAATTATATCGTGATCACCCACAGCGTTGTAACAGTGATCAGCTATGGCAGAAGAATTCGTTCTGCCGTGTTTCAAATCTGATTTGTGCTCGCGAATTCGGTCAGAGACATGTCGCTTCGCCTCCCCGATATAGCAATCACCGCAGGTACAACTCAATTTGTAAATAACGGGGTACTGTAAATCAGGAATGACATCCTTCACGGATGGGATCAGATCACGAATTTTGTGTACTGTATTGGACCGGACCTGGATCTTGTGTTTGTTTAGAATTTTGGAAATCTTTTTAGTAACGCCTGCTATATATGGTAGTGTGATGGTTTTGACCGGAGTATCAAGTGGTTGTTTCTGTATGGAGGGAGAAACAGCTTGGCGGATGGTACGGTCAGAGTATCCATTCCTTTTGAGGGCCAGGTGTACATGTTTTAATTCACTGGTCAGGTGGTGTTGGTCCGAAATGCAATGAGCCCTATGGTACAAAGTTTTGATGAGAGAATTCTTCTGAGCTGGGTGGTGGTGGGAATCAGGCTTCAAGTAGGAATCCGTGTGGGTGGGTTTCCTGTAGACAGAATGCCCCAACAAGCCATCAGGTCTCCTCTCAAACAGAACATCCAAGAATTTTAGCCTGCCATCCTTCTCCACGTCCATGGTGAATTTGATGGCGGGATGTCTGGAATTGATGTGGTGTAGGAAAAGGTTCAGAGCTGGGAGGCCATGTGGCCAAATGACGAAAGTGTCATCCACATATCTCTTCCACAGGGAAGGTCTGAGGGTGGAAGTCTGGATGGCGTCCGATTCAAATTTCTCCATGAAAACATTGGCTATCACTGGTGACAAGGGGGAACCCATGGGAGTACCCTCATTTTGCTTGTAGAAGGAACCATTACAAGTAAAGTAGGTGTTGGTGAGGCAGTGCCTGACCAGAGTAGGTACCTCGGGGTTTAGTCCATGTTGTACCAAATTTTCAATTATATCAATGGTATCAGGTACCGGGACCTTGGTGAACAAGGAGACCACATCGAAGCTGACAAGGATATCGTCAGGGGACAGTACAACGTCCTTGACCATAGAAACCAATTGGGCCGAGTTAAGTACTGCTGAGGAGGTCTTGCCAGTGAAAGGTAGCAAGGTATCCGACAGAAAACGTGCCAGCTTATAGGTGGGGGAGTTGATCGTGGATACGATGGGTCGTAGTGGAGTGGCTTCCTTATGAATCTTTGGAAGACCATAGAATCTAGGTGGTCTTGCAGCAATCCTGCGCAGGCTGTTGCCCGCGCAGGATCGGCGGGACCTCGCTGTTCCGCTTCTTGCCCACGTTACCGTCCACATTGGCGAGGGGTGTACAGATATCCCTCGAGTTACAAACGTTCGGTTTACGAAATTTCGCTTTCACGTAAGTGACAAATTGTCGACGTTTATCGATTAATAAAATTTCCGCCTGAACGGAATTTCACTCCGGCCACGCGCCAGGAGATCATCAAACAAGATGCACCACCCAGGAAGCTGCCTCATCCATCCACGACAGCGTCACGGTGTCCCTACAGTGCAACAGTAGTAATGCCTCCATATCACCTTTCCAGGAATTCCAAAATGAAAATCTTTTGGTGAAATCCCTAAAAAGGTAAATATAGCTTTTAATTAATTATTAATCAATCGTCTAAATATTTTATCTTTATTACTTTTAAATAGTGAAAAGTGATATTGGTGTATATATTTTGAAGCATGCATCCCTTTCATAAATGGAGTACCTGTAATTAATTACACATAGATGTGGATTCTTAATGAGGGGGGCTTCTCTCAGACTCCTACCACACACCCCGTGCCACACCGCTCGCAGCACAGGTGAGAGATGACTAGGCACAAGGTTTCCAAAATTATTGAGAACAGCAAAGTGCCAAAAACAAATATTAACTTCAGTGAAGTAAAAGCCTTCAGAGAATTGAGAGAAAATAAAGATATCCAAATTCTTGGTGCTGATAAGGGTCGATCGATTGTTGTGAGGACTACGATAATAAAATCAAAGATTTACTCGATGAAGGTACCTACCTTAAAATTAAACGAGACCCAAACAGCACCTTGGAATGTAAAACAACGGCAATCATTGCCAAGTCATCAATTCCCAAGGAAGAGCAATGCCTGATCAAACCAAGGGCATCAAAACCACCAATACTTTATGGGCTACCAAAAATTCACAAACCTGATGTCCCATTAAGACCCATAGTACAATAGGCTATGCCACGTACAAATTAGCACAATACGTAACGAAACAAATACAGCCCTACATCGGTAGGACCTCTTCGTTCATCAAAAACTCTGAACATCTCGTAAATATAATTAAAGATATTAAGCTTAACCCTAATGATATTCTCGTAAGTTTTGATGTGACCTCTCTGTTCACGAGGGTTGTGGTCAACGAGTCAATTAAATTACTCGACACTCTGGTAACGAACAAAGGTTTAGCCAAAGATATCTCAAGACGAGCTGAATACTGTCTAAAGAACACCTACTTCTTGTGGCAAGGTGACTTCTATTAACAAAAGGAAGGAGCAGCAATGGGCTCTCCTTTGTCTCCTGTGATAGCGAATTTGTACATGGAAGATTTTGAAACAAAAGCAATAGCTTCAAGCACACTAAAACCATCTGCTTGGTTTAGATATGTGGATGACACATTGGTGGTCTGGCCACATGGCGAAGATACACTGAACGCATTTTTAAATCATCTCAACTCGCAAAACCCATCCACCCAGTTCACCATGGAAGTAGAATCTGACAGAACTCTACCATTTCTGGATATTCTGCTCGGACGGGGTCGAAATGGTAAAATAACACTGTTTACCAAAAGAAAACGCATACTGACGCCTATCTGAATGCAGAGTCACACCATCACTCCGCACAGAAATCTGCTCTTATCAAGACGCTCATTCATCAGATGGTGACAATCTGAGAAGTGAAATTCAACATGTAAAAATGGCGCTGCAAATGAAGGTTACAATGATGCACAAATCAACAGGACATTGAATACCAAAACCAAATGAAATAACAAGAGCATTGAAACTGCCCAAATAATGATCCAAACATCGTACATTGCGGGAGTAACTGATAAACTAGCCTGATGTTTGGAAAAACAAAACATCCGAGTCAGATTTGGCATGGTACATAAAATACAGAATTTAATATCTGGTACAAAAGATGTATTACCGAAGCTATCAACAGTTTCAGTTTCTTTATTTTGTTATAGCCCTGTGAGCCATTCAGCTCTTGAATCGGGTGCAACCACAACAAACAAAAAACCAAAAACACGAACAAGAAAACATCTTAAAGTGACTATGTGATTGTGCAAAGAGAAAATCCATGAAAAAAACAGCAAAAATATTCCTGAAAAAAAGCACCGTACCCCAACGCTGTGTGCAAAAAATCCCAGTGGGATGCAAGTCAAACAACAACAACAAAACTTAGATTAAGGCCATCAGTCTAACTCCGTACTACAATAAAACAAACATGTCCAAACCAAAATACTTTTCGAAATCACCAAAAAATAAAGCCATAATTGCAAAGTAACAGTGATCATAGGGACTGTGACCGAATTTTTACAATAAACTACATAAATAACATGTAAGACCAAATCCTAGAGCCATAGCTGGCTGCATGAGTTTCTCCACAACAACAGAAGCATCAGTCGGAGTATCAAATTTTTCAATGCACCTTTAAGATCAGCACGCTAAATCAAAATACAGATAATACTTTGCAGCGTCATCCGGAGCGAAACATTTTATTTTATTTTACACCAATGAATAGCAGTGGCAGCTAAGGGTGTACAACTCCTCTAGAGCAGTTTTGAGAGAAGATCTCATTGGTAGCTATTCAAGTTGCAGTTTATTGGCAATAGCATTTCAGACCCTGGGGGCATCAATAGCAAAGGCCCTTCCTCCAGTTTTTGTACGGCAATAGGGAATGTGAAGCTGGTAAATGAGCGAAGACCTGAGGTCAAATTTGTTCTTTGAAACAGAGAGGAGATCCAGCAGGTAGTCTGCGGATTTTTTTGGAAGTACGTTGTGAATAAATAAGATCTGGTGCACAAGCCGTCGAACATTAAGAGATGTTAAGTTTGACCCAATGTAGAGATCACAGTGGTGAGTCCTATATGGGCAGTTCAATGTAAATATTAAGGCCGAGTGATAGATGGAATTAAGCT